CGTATGGGCAAGTGTCCCCTATCATATTATCTGTTATTTTGCCTATATGTTTTCTGGTTTGTGTAACTGAGTTTTCAATAAATATAAAAAACAATGTCAATATCTGAACATTATGTTTTTTTCAGAAGATCCAGAATTACCTCGGAAAATTCAGTTGTCAGGAGCTCAGAAAAAGAAAGATTTCAAAGAATCAGAGAAAGAAATGATGCGATCTTTGCTCAAAGAGACAAAAACACCTTACAGAATTTTTTCTGCTTCGTAGTGAAAAAAAACCTAGAAAAGCATACTGATTGAAGAACAGTACACCTACCAGATGATGTTTCTTCTGAGGACCCACCAGCATTCCCAAGTACATCTGCAGAAAATAAAAATAACATAAAAAATCATGATATTTAAAGGGTTTGATGAATCACCACAACCACATTCTACAGATATTTCTGTACATGGACAGTGAAGCCCACCATGTGACTCAGACCCAGCCATGGGGTTTTCCTGTCAGTGACACCATGTGTCCTTTTGGTCACTGCTACCATACAGATAGATACCTAAAGTGTGACACCAAAGATAGAAATTTCACATCGGTAATTATTATGTAGTGTAGATAGAATATATTACAAACTGAAAATTCTAGTCAGGTATTTGTAAAGTCAGTAAAATTAAGAAAAATAAAATCAGACATCTTTTTCGAAACCTAACATACTTTTTTCGAAAAAACTGCTGTTTATCATTCATTTTAGTTCATTTCTTATTTGTTTAAATTTAATTTAATTTCCATGACGAGGGGCTTCTCCAACCTAAAGTGTCCCGGGCCTCCCCAAAGGGCTAAATCCGGCCATGGAGCCCCTGACCCAGGGGCCCGGGTAGTGAGGGGGTAGTAGTTTCCATCTAGTGATGGTGTATAGTGGCATTTGTGGTTGGTAGTCAGAGTTAGTCAGGTTATCAGTGATGGTGTTATAGTGAAGGATAGGACAGTGACCAACCTCAAGGTCACTAAAGGTCAGTTGAACGTCAATGGTCGTATAGGAGAGATGTTTTGCTCCTCCTCCTGCCTCCCCGCCGGCTCTACCGTTTCCTCATCCTTTTAATACACCTAAATAACGTAAGTATTGTCTGGTGACGTATTTGCCAGTACAACAGAGTTGAGCTGCAGCGCCTGGTCCCCGCCACAAGTTTTGTCACCAAATTATTAATATTTTAATAGCCCTAAATTTAATTTTCTTTGGGGTCTAATGTCTTAGAGGGGGGTGGGGGTGATTGACCTTAGTGGAGAGGTTTTGATGCGAGGAACTGGAGCTACTCCCCTTCCTCTGATCAAACAATAACTCTCACTAGGCGTTACATAACTCATAATTGTGTATCCAGTTCTGGGCTATTTTTTCCATTATTGAAAAATAACTCTCATGATCCAAGGAACTTGCGCCCTGTGATCTAGATATAGACTTCCATGTAAACAAATTGTTAGTCATCAGCTTTGTCAAAGAAATATTAAAGAAAAAGATAGCTTTATATTAATGGGTATACCAGTCAAGCAGTAATGTTACTAGTTTATTTTACATGGTAATGTTTACCTATAAATGTGTAAAGTTCATGGTTATAATGTGAATGTTTTGTTTCAGGTGTGGTAACTGAGGAGTGCTGTGCCTGGCTGTGTCTGCTGCAACATTGATCAACACAGCAACATTGACCAGTCTGAGGGGTGAAGACAACCACACTAGTAAATGATCTGACCCATAACAGTTAGTGTTATATGGAGATGCAGCACTTGGAGACGTCGTTAGAGGTGAGCAGGGCCCACTTGTAAGGTATTTTCAGGTTATAAGTCCACTAAAGTTTGGTTATTGAAGCAGATAGTAATTATATTAGGTGGGAGGGCGGTGGGGAGAGTATAGGAAACATTGTAAGAAGTTGATATCAAAAGTAGCTTAGTGGGAAGTATTAGGTTATCTCAAGACCAGAGATGAAATCTCTGGCCAGGAAATAATGAGGAATGTATTCTAAAGGTAACCTTGAATGGAATGGAAATAAAAATTTGAGAAATAGGTTGTAAAGCTTAGAATTTAAGACTGATTAGATTTTAGGAAGCTTTTGTTAGTATATGGTTTAGCGCTTCTTTTTGATAATAATAATAATAATTTAGTTAGTGTAATAAAATAATTATGCAGTCTAGACCCATCCTGCAAGATTGTAGGAAGCAGAGATGAAATGTGTAAGTGATATATCATGGCTCAGTTGGTAGTGGCGTCAACTGAAGATTCGATCCCGGGCACAAGTGGGCATGTTCCTTTATATCCATTGGCACTGTTCACATAAGAAAGGGGGAACACTGCAGCAGGCCTTCTGGCCCATGAACAGGTCTACTGGTAGGGGTCGCATCCTGGGGGAGTAAAAATACCCTGATAAAAATGTCATAGATGTCATCCTGACTGATTGTGTTAATCTACCGGGTTAATAATTATACTGAGATAGGTTAGTGTTGTGAAGGTAATGGTAGAGGTCTTGATGCCGGTGTAAGGAATGCCTATTAAATCAGGCATATCCATTATTAAGCACAAGAAGGAGCACGAAGCAGGCCTATTGGCCCATGTTAGGGGAA